AATAAAACTTACCTCATCTCCTTTCGTTTTTCTCATAAAAACCCTCAGCCCCTCTTTTGTAATTGGGACACTGCTTGGGTTTCTACACAAATCTGTGCTTCCTGAATTGCAATTCTTTGAACCCACATAAATGTTTTGCCCTTAAACTCATTTCTGCTTTTATAGATTGACAACACTTACAGAGAATGAGGTATGCTATGGAGCCAGGACTGGCTGGAGACAAATCTCATGCTCATTTCCCACTTAATACTGAGAAAGCAATGGGCATGCTGTTTTCTTTGGTGGGAGGGACAAGCACAGAACAGCAATCCCTGCCAGAAACAAATGTGTACCATCTGAGCTTCATTGGAACATTTCATCTAGAGGTCCAATCAGGAGGAGATTTTAAATGCCCTAAAGGAACATGATAGTTCTGTATTCTTCAGCAATTTATGTCACCTCCTTTACTTCATCTGTAAAAAGGACCTCACGGGGTTGCCTGGAGAGTAAACAGCATTATGTGAGCAAAGCATGCAGCTGTAGGGGAGGAAGACAATTCCTCTACCCTCTAGGTCCTTCTGGCTAGTGTAAGAATTAAATTGACATGAAACAGAATAATAGGAGAAAATTAAACAAAGTTTAAAAACAGGTATACTTGAGAGAAACCCAGGAATCCTGAGTGACTCCAAGGAATACCAAAATCTGTCACCTTGAATATGACCTCCAGCTAACGAACAAGGAGGATGTTGTGGGTAGTGGTTTGGGTCATCAAAGGAGAGGAAGGCATTTTACATGGAAATAGAAAAGTAAAGGGGCCAACTATGGACAATGTGAGGTGAGAGACACATTTTACATTACACTACAGTTACCTGATAGTACTTTCTTCTTCCTGGAACAGGCCTTCTATCCTAAAACCTTTTAGGTAATTAGTGGGGAGGGTCAAAGTTTCTTTCAGAGCCTTTGTCTCCTTAAAAATAATGAAGGCAAAGAGACACATTTTGGGTGGTCAATTCTGATCCCTCACATTCCTGTTTTTGAAACTTTAAGAAGTTTCACAGTCCAGAAGCTGAGTTGGTAGATTATTGCATTTCACTGAACACATTTCTTCGTTCTGATACTAGATCAATACATTTAAATTCATTTTAGAAGGCGGTGATGTGGGTGGGATCCCATACTGTGGCCTATATTGTGGAAGCAAGAAATCTGATATTTAATAAGTATTTCTTTGGAAACAAAAAGAAAAACAACATGAGTTGTTGGAGTAAATTATAAACCAGTTTATCTGCCCATGGGACAGTCCCTCAAGAAGATTTCTAGATGTCAGGGTTGAAGCATCTTTTGCAGCTTGAAATTTTCTGATTATGTCATCTGGTGTCCAGGTATCCTTTTGAGTGTCTTACATAACAACAGGCATGCTATTGTGGTGATCTCTTTTAAGTGTATATTAACTTAGCCAGCTTCAGTTTGCAGAGCTTCAGGAAACAGAGTGGTTGCTGTTCTCAACAATTCCTAATGAAAATGATGGAAAAATTTGAAAATTTTAGTTTGGAGATTTGTAGCTAGATATTTCAGGAGACAAGAAGAATTCAGGATCCCCCCTAGATTATAGACAGAAAAGAAACCATTAAGGGCAATTAAAAAAACTAGAAACTAATATCTTCGAATACGTACTATAGTTTCTTCTGAAACATAATTTTTATCTCTAAAATCACAATCATTTTTACCAATTATAGCAAATTAAAATTAACTGGTTTTTAAAATGTCTAGTTTCAACAAACCTGGCCCTATTATTTACATACATAAAGCAAGACTCATAGCTGATCTTACAGCCTCTTTCAAATTTGCTTTGCTGGAACTTTTTATAAGATATCTCAGATTGAACTTCAAAGGTATTTTGAGGCTAGGAAAGCCAACCCAAGGACTTTTCAGATTCAACCTGCAATACCTAGAGATTTGGGTGAATTACCTGCCAGAAAAGTGACCTTCTTTACTCACCTGGTAAGTTTTATGGGAACCCTGTAAGCAAAGAACCAAGCCAATATTTCCAAGCGACTTTATTTCGTAAAGTTCAATCTTCGTTTCCCAAAAGGCATCTGGTCATATCTGAGTCTATGCATGTTTCTCTCAAATACAACATTCCAGTAAAAGCTTTGGTAATATGACCAATGTTTTCAATTTTGTCCTGTTATAAGGAGAATAGATTCCTATTGAACTTATGCAAATAACTCCATTACCATGAAGTAAGAAATATTCTCTCACTAAGAGTGTCAAAATTCTGGTGGGATCTGTTAGGGAGAAAAAGATAAATGTTTCAAATCTGATTACAAAACTATAACTTTCAAATTGCTATAAGTCATAGTTTTCTCTTAAGAGGAAAGAGAGAACCTTTTCATAAACCTGAACAAACAAAACATTTAAAAAATCTGCAATATTTCAAACAAAACGTCACAAAAATTTTAATGATCCTCATCAGTTCATTCGGTCCCATATAATCAATGCTTGATCTTGATCTTTTATTAGCTGTTTCAGGAAGTCATCAGTTCCTGTACTAGAGTTCTGTAATTTTTTTAACCTAGTCCAGTTTTATGATCTGATAGTTGATCAAAAACCTGGAGTCCAAAGTAGGTTCCAGAGCCTTTTCTGTCAATATCTCTGAGGAAGAATACATTTGGAAAAGCAGAGTAAAACGCAACTCTCTGTAAATGACAAAAGACTTAAAAATGGCAATTGACAAAGAAATTTGGTTATTTTTGTGCCATACAACACTTTGAAATAATAAGTAGAATTATGGCTATAATCATTACAGATCAGGATTTTATGAATGTTATATAATTTTTAAAACACTTACATCAATAACATGTACCTACATTATATATCATCTGTGAAAGTTTATCACCATTTATTTGGTAATGCTTCCCATATAATTTTCATACCAAATAAGTCTAATTAGTTTAACATCTTCCTCCTTATAGGAAGAGAGAGAGCAAACTATTTGAGAAGTCCCAGGGCTACTTGAAAATTCTCAAAGTTTCCCTGATCAAAAGAAAGACTTTAATTTTGAGCAAAGTTTATCAAAAATATTAAACACTTTTAAAACACTTGGTCAAATTGCAAGGAATGTTTAGTTATCCATTCAATCAACGTGAAAACATAAACAGTTAAGAAAACCTTAATAGAGAGACCTTAGTCTTTTTGAACACAGGAAATTATTTTAACAAATCATATATTGGTGCCATTCATGTAAAGGATAACATTTACTATATACATTGGAGATTTTTTTCTTGTCTTTAAACCAAATCAAGGTATAGGGCATTGCTCTGGTCTCTGATGTATATCCAGTAAAACAAAAGATTATCAGGAACTAAGACTTGATGTCTGCCCCACACAAAGATGCCTCCCACACTCAGAGACCAGCCCCATATATAACTGGCTTGTAGTCTTTGTTCTGTAAGATGATTCCTTTGGACATTAGTTGACCATCTTCTCCCTTGCTAGCAAGCTGTAATAAAACCTTTTCTCTCCTACCACCTTGCCTTTCAGCAATTGGCATGTTTTGCAACAAGCAGACAATACCCCCTTGGGTGGTAACAAACTTGGGACTCCAGATGAGACCTTGGGTCTTGCTCATGGCCAACTGTCCTCGGATGGGCAATCTGTTGGCTAAGTCCCTAGCAGCTACCAAGGTTCTCTTTGGCTTGAGGGTCTGCCCTTCTTCCTTTTCCTTTTCTGATGCTAGCTGCCTCCTAACACTGACTGTAGAAGGAAAAGAAACAGCTGTGTCTGGCAAGTCCACAGGCTCAATCTGAAATAGGGTAAGTCACCTCCCTTCCCCTCCATCTGGGGTCTTTCTATTTACAGCAGGCCTATCTGCCATCCAATAGGACCATTTTGACATGCATTCAGAGTGGGAAAAATTGTAGGATGTTTTACCCAAAATCTAGTTCACCGAGTCTGGTTTTTCTTTGTCTGCATCTGTGTCTGTAAACAGCTCCAGGATCAGACACAAAGCAGTTCTACCATACATCCTGTAACTTATCACTTTATAAATAAATAAAGGTACATATATTTAGAGTTTATTCATGCATAAATTATTGCCAAGGGAGTTTTGAAAAAAAAAAAAAAACAAGAAAACTTGCTTACCAAAAAGCAAGAATTGTTATACAGCTATACTTATTAAAATACTGTATTCCTGGCATAGGAATAGACAAAATTTGGTATTTGTCTATTGTCACCTTTACAAATGGTGTCTATTTGCACCATTTGTAAAGGTGAAGCTGTGCATTCACAATGACTCCACTTCTAGACGTTTCCTTACAGAAATTGTCACATGTAAGTTGACACATACAGTGAAAAGAAGAGAGAGAGTAAAAAAGGCTGTGTGAAGCCTATGGAACCTTAGTTATCATAGGGGTGGCAATGAAAAACTGTGGGATTAATGATGGATTACTCAATAATTTGGGGGAGAAATTGGATGTCCACATTCAGATTCCTACTTCTATCTCATAAACAAAAATTCAGTTCAAAGAAGATTAAAGAAAAAATGTGCAGAATAAAGCCTTAACACTATTAGAAGAATATAAATGAGAATATGTCAATGCTTCAATGTAAGGAAAAAAGCTTTCATAGAGCTGCAAAATAGGTAAAATACATGGTCCCTGGAACAGTAGAGCAAGTTCAAGTTGGTTCATTTAGTGTACAATTCTTCTTGCCTGAGGTCACGGAAGTGAGAGGAACTGAAGTTTCCACTTGTGGTTCTTGTGGAATTATAGAGTAATGTGATTACCTGATTACCTGTTAGGGCAGCAGCATCAAGGGTGCATTAAGAGAGGAGGGCTTTGTGTGTTGGGAAGAAGCTCATGAGCACCTTTCTAGAATGCACTGTTGTGTCAGGCTGGGAATTGGACCATTTCATAGGGAGACAGGTCACCTTATCTATTCCTGCCAGGACAGAAGTTCTTACAAATCAATCTGAATAAGAATCATTGCGGAGGTCTTTGAAAAATACACACTTTCAGCCTTCATCCTACATTTCTGATTTATTGTGTTGGATGTTGCCCAGAACCTGCACTTTTATTCAAAGTTTTCCAGGTGCTTCTGATGCAGGTAGTCCCTGGACCACAGTTTGAGAACTATTGTTCTAGGAGCTATTGACTCTAATCTAGAGTCAAGGTCAAGAGATCCGGTAGAAAGCTGGAGGATCCAATACGCAAGAGACCACACACAGGTGAATCTGGCATTTCTGTACTTCGGGATTAGTTTTATATCCTTAAACCTGGCCCAATATGACAGTCACATCCTTTTCCCATTTGACTTTTCAGTTCAAACATATACTATTTATTGATTGTTCTTGGAAAGCATCCCTTTATTTTAATTATTGGGAAAAAATTAATCTGATAAGACTCATTCTAGTTTAGGACTTGGCCATGTCAATGTTGGGGGAGGGGTGGAAAGGAACTTTGGCTTTACTTGTTTAGGACAGAACAGTTCTGGCTGAGGCTGAACTTCAAAAGACCCGTGAATAGAACACAATGCTTGGCATCTCTACAACAATCACTTTGTTCCTACACTTTCACTGTGTGAACAGTGCCATGGTTGGGTATGGTAGAGGAAACATCAGTTTGTCCAAAAGAAACATTGGATACCAGCTCGAGGTCTTCATGAAGTCCAAAGTCTTCATTCCATCATTTCTCATTCTCCTGAGAAAGGCAGGAGCTCCTTTCTCAGGCGTTATCTCAGCATAATGAATGGACAAATGATTAGGTATCACTATTCTTCCCATATTGCTCTCGTAAATGTCTCCCTGAACACATCAACCCTAGGTTACTTTGTCCCAGAAAGCAGATAAAATGAACTCCACCAGCTCCTAGAAGAGGGGAAGGAATATGATGTCTGCTAGACTGCTTGCCTAAGGCCTGGAGATGAGAGAAAGTGCTCATTGGGAGTGGAGGGAGGCCAGTGGACATAAAGGTGGGGGATGGGCACTGAACTGAGTGTCTCGTTCAGAGCACAGTGAAGTCAGGGCGGTAAGTGAGGCAGGGGCTGGTCTATCCTTTGTGTCAAGACTTATTGGCAGCCACAAGCAATATTTTCAGTGAAGAATAGGGGAGATGTGAATCACTGTGAGCCTCCCAGATAGCACAGTAATACACACCAGAATCACTTTGTTCCAGCTTCCGGATTTCAATTTTACGGTTCCTCTCTGTGCTTTCATAAACACGGTATCTCTCTAAACGGATTCCTGGATCCGACACTAATCTGGAGTCTTGATGATGGTAGTAGACAATTCGTTGTGGGGCTATTCCCTCCTTGTGTCGGTACCAATGGACGTAGGTGATCCTTTGTTTAATATCACAAGTGAATACAACTGAAGACCCAGCCTGCTTGGTGATTGACATTTGTGTCCCTTCCACGTTGGAAGATATCCAAGTGGCTGCAAAGGGAACAATGAAAAGTAATGAGGAAGCGGTAATAGGAATTCCTTCGTGTGGCCTCCCATTGCCCAAAAAAGAGAGAAAAATCCTAGGAGCATCCAGGCAGCACACTTACCAGGAGCCAGGAAAGCTAGAAGGAAGGCGAGAGTCCACAGCATGCCGTCCTCCTCAGGCCTTAGAAGGAAAGGGACAGACGACAGGAGGGGCAGACACCCTCTCACAATCCAGTCCTGCTCAAAAGACAGGGACCCCAGCACATAAGGAGGGATTCAGAGCCAGGCTCTGCACAGCTGTCACAGGAGGGCAGTGACTGAGGGGCTCTCCTAGAAGACCACCCAGCTGATGACCCAGAGTGGGTGGGGCTGGGGGAGGCCTGGGGAGGAGCCCTGCCTCTCTGCTCAGCCCATTTCCTGACAGCCTCCTGGGGCAGGCTGAGAGCAGGCCCTCTGCAGAAGAGGAGGAACCAGGAGCCCTGAGAGCCCAGAGCAGAGGAAGGGACAGCCTGAGCCAATGGAGGGGGCAGGGGAGCCATGGATGCAGCTCCATGTCCCCTGGTGCAGGGAGCGGTCCTGAGTCAGGGGACTTCCCTGCAACTCAGGGTTCAGTGTTCCCGCTGCTGCCATGGGCTTGTCCTGCGATGCAGCTTCTGTATTCTCGCCCGCCCTGAACCGACTTCCTTTCCACCTCTGTCAGTAAACTGTGAGGCACCCACAGCAAAGCTGACAAGCTCTGAACCTGGTTTAGTAAAAGAAATAGGATCAGTTATGTTGGTCTACATCTGACTCTCCTCAAAGAGAAATTAATGTGTGTGGGTGTGTATGTATCACGTCCATGTGTTAGACGATTTCTCTTCATCCTCATGTAAAAAGGACACCTCGCATAAGGTTGCCAAAGTTAGTAAAGAAAAAAAGTGTAGGGTGCTAGGCAATATTTGGGACATACTTGAACTAAAGAACTATTTGTTGTTTATCTTCAATTCAGATTTCCTTGGGCATCCTGTGTTTTCTTAGGCGGCCCTCCCCTCAGGAAGTGTACCCACATCTGCTATTTACTTGGATTCACAGATGGGTAGATAGGTGATCAAACAAGTATAGTGAAATCATGGGAGAATTGAGGTCACGCATACAGAGATTTGAACCCCCGCTTTTATAAATGTGTTTGGACACATGTTTACAGCACATAGAAAAATGCTCTCTCCATCTTTGTTTTGGCCTCTCTCTCACGTGGTTCATTTTCTGCCATCCTAACAGACAGCTGGGAAAGGAGGAAGGGAGGGGACTCGGGCTGCTCTTCCTTCTGCCTTGGGGACCACACGTGCAGAGACATGAGGTGTCGCAGCAGCAGCTCTGCAAGAGAACATTCCAGGTCACTATGCAGGAAGCAGCTCAGTGCTGTGGAGTCCCAGCACATCCCTGCTGGACAGAATCGTGGTTTAAAGGTGAGAAAGGAGAAAATGGTGTCACACTAGAGTGGAAAGAAAATTCTTAAAAAAGTAAGAAGAGAAAACTGCTCCACCAGAATGTAAAAAGAAGTATAGAGCTACAGTAATGAAAAGAGGGCGTTATTGGGGCTAGAATATATTCATGGAACATAGTATATCCTGAGAGAGAGATAGTGAGGGAGAGAGTGAAGAAAAAGAAAAAAAAAGATTAAATTACATCCTCTGGGCCTCGCGTTGTCGGTGATAATTATAATATTGTTTCTATTTATATTTTTATAATTTTACTTGACACTGTTAGGAATTATGATTTCAGTGTAAGGGAAAATGCAGATATAAAAATTAGAAATTTTAATAAAATCCCTACGATCTATAATTTGAATCTGTTCTCTCTAAAACAGAGGTTTTTTTTTTTAGCTATAAACTGAAAAACTAGAGACCAATAACCCTGCAGGAGCAATGAGCTCTTCTAGAATCTGTACTGTGGCATCAAGTACTATTTTTCACTAAAAGACTAGGGCTCAATGGAGAAATGCCTGAATCTAGGACTGAGAAGGAGGTGGACAAGATCAGTGACATGTCATCTCGCCTGAAAGCAAAGACGCCGTGAGAGATGGCTGTGGTCATGTCACAGGATGCAGAAGTCATATCGCTGAGTCTCTCACTGGCCACAGGACAATATGAGCATCGAAAGACCAACACCTAAGCAAACATGTTAAAGCCCTAATATATGAAAACACACAGGCTCACTGATGAAGCTCAAAATTAGTGTGTCACCTGTGGAGGTTGCTAAGGCACTATCTCATTATTCTGAAAAGGGGAATACAGAAGAATCGAACATTTCCCTTCTCTTTCTGTACAAACTGTATTTCAGGACACCAGAGCTCATGAATGAAAATTCTTCTTTATGGGAGTATTAAGAGCAATAAATTCAGGAGAACTATTAAATTAGGAAATTACCTTCCTGCAACCCTAACGATGTCCTGGACTAGACGACCACCGTCAATGGCTGTGCAGCTCTGCCTCCTGCACTGGCTCTCTCTCCACCATTCTATGTCTCTGTCTCCCCCCTGCTGTCTCCATCACTCTTCATATCCCCCCATCTCTCTGCCTCTAGGTCAACACTCTTTCTTTTCTCTATTTCCTGTTTTCTCCATCCCTCTCTTCTATCTGCCTTTCCAGTTCTGTCTCTTTCTCTTTCTGTACTTCTCTTTATCTCTCCTCTTTCCTACCATCTCTCTCTTATCTCTTTATGTTTATGTCTCTGTATCTCTCTGCCTATTTCTACTAACTATCTTTCTTTTTCTATCTCTCTATCTATATCTTTCTTATCTATCTTACATTCTATCTCCATCTCTACCTCGCTTTCCGTTTCATCCCAAGGTAGTAACAACTACTTTAAATTCTGTTATCCCCGAATCAGTGTCATTTCAGGATTGACATCTATTAATGGCTTTTCCATTGTGAGATTTTGAGATTTTCCTGTTTCTCCATATACTGAGTAATTTTGGATTGTACCCTGCACATTTTGAATGTTATGTTAGGGGTTCGAGGCAGTGTTTAAATACTACGGAGATGCAGAGTTTTTTGGTTGCAGACAATTGACAAAGTTAGCAAGTTCCCACCTGCTTTTGGTGGGCAGTTCCAATCAGTGCAGCTTTCAAAGCCTTTATAGTGCTACTCAGATCTGTCCTGTGTGAGCGCCACCCAGTGGCCAGTCTTGGACCCGGGCCATGGTTTACCCCTAGATCAGTTTGCAAAGCCAATGGTAGGCTGTTTAGGGTCATATCTATGCCTGTGCAGCTAGGGGGGAAACCCAGTTGTTCAAACACCATTGTGTGAAATTTCTTCCTTAAACTCTCTCCTCTCTGCAATCTTTACAACATTTTCCAATTCACAGGGGTCCTCCTTTCTATCTTGTGGCCAGATAGGTTGGGCTTTAGCATACTTGTTCTGCTTTGCATTTCCTGCAACTATGTCTGCGTTCGGGGCCAAGCAGGGAGAGGAAAAAGAGAGGACAAAAGCCACCAGGATTCTCTCTACACTGAGTCCTCAAAGCAGGGGTTATAGTTGCATTCAGTGAGAGACACAGTGTCAAATGTACCCAGTGCAATTTATCCAGCCTGGACCTCACTCCTTGCAATCTGAACTCACAGCTTCTCAATCAAGAAGCACAGTTTATTTCACCATTTTTTAATGTGTGAGAAAGTTAGAGGGTTCCAGTCCCAAGTATAGGCCTCAAGAGGCCTAATGCACTTCTGCAGGCTCTCTCGGACCCTCACCGCTGTCATGAGAACAAGTCCTGTCTGGCCTGTTGGAGGATGAAAGATCACGTGGAACAGAGCTGATTCGTTCCAGCCCAGGCCACCTTGACCAGCCAGCCCCCAGCCAACCCATCAGGTGACCAACACATGACCAAATGCAACAAAGATCAGCTGAGCCTGTCCCAGATCAGCAGACTAGCCATGCCGATCAACGGACTTGTGAGAATTAATAAATGTACTTTTAAGCCACTGTGTTTCAGACTGTTTGTTATAAAGTGTTATTGTGCAATACAAGAGATATAGACAGACAGATAGATAGACAGATAGATAGATAGACAGATTGATTTCTTGTTAGTACCATGGAGTCAGTTCCAATTCCTAGCAACCCCGCGTACAGCAGAGCAGAACCCTTCTTGGTCTTTTTGTGCCATCCTCTCATCCTCCAATGCTATATCACACAATGCTCCACTGCTATTCATAGGATTTTCAAGGGCAATTTTCTCAAGTGGGTGGCCAGGTCCTTCCTCTTAAGATAAATAAATAGATATATAGATATATGTAACTGGAAAGATACTAAATATAAAGAGAAAAAGAAAGTTAGAAATGTATATAATCATGACATCTAAAATATATACGTATGCATGTAAGCAAATTTGTAACAATATATAGATACACTATTTGTAGCAATATGTATATAAATATGCATATATCTCTAACTTTTCTCTTTCTGTCAATAATTACATCTGTTTCTGTATATCTATCTCTGTCTTGCTAACTCTATCACACTCAATGTGCCCACATATATCCTTTATCTCTATAGCTCTATCACCCTCTCCGTCTGTCTCCAATTCTTTCTTACTGTATCTTTCCCTATTTCTACATCTCTGACTCTGTATGTGTACCCCTCTCTCTCTCTATCAGTACGTTTATATCAAAACCTCTCTCTAGTCTCTGTTCTTTTTTTCTCTATATCCATCTTCCCTCCCTCTCTGCCTGTCTCTATTTTCATCTCTCTATCCCTCTGTCTCTGTCATGCTCTCTATCTGTCTTTTAATTACCCTGTGTCTCTGTTATTTTTCTCTCCTCTGTAGAGACATCTATCCATCTCTATGTATAATTCTCTCTCTCATTAGCTATTTTTATCACTGTATGCCACTGTCTCAGTCATTCTCTCTTTTTCTCTAACTCCCACTCCATAGCCTCTCTCTCCATGTTTCTATTACTAATTTCTGCGCTATCAGTGTCTCTCTAGCTTCCTCTCCCTCTCTCATATTGACCTCTCGCCTCCATCTCTCCCTTTCTTTCTTGTGACCACAGTGAGGCTTGTCAATAATGATTGTAATGAGCTTCAAGAGGGCACAAACCTTCGTATTAAGAGCATTTGGAGCAAAACCTGGGAATTAAATATATATAGGGGATAAAGTACCATGTGTATGTCTAGGAAGATTCTTATAGGGATGTCAGTGAAACTGAACTAAACAGTGTGTGTATTTGCTACAGAGGATTAAAAGAAGCTGTCGGTGAACAACATTTTCATACAGTCAGTCTGGGCTGGGACACGACTGGGAAGCAGTGACTCTAATGTAAATCATTCCTCATCACATGGGACTAAAGTAGGAGTTGACAGTGGAGGAGAGAGGAAGCCACACTAGGTGGACAAAGGGGCCCAGTTCCTGTCCCCGGGCCCTGTGCTGCTCTGTGCCGCCCTGCAGCTTCCCAGACAGCAGCAGCATCTCCTGCCAGTGCTGGGGCAGGGCTGGGCAGGCACAGTTTCCAGGGAAGCTGAGTGTAGCCCAGAAACCTCAACCAAAGCTTCGCGTCCTGCCTGCTCTTCCCACAGGCTTTGTGGCTGCCAGGTGCGTGTGGTCTTCAGGGACCTGCAAGTTCTAATCCACTCCATGTGGTATCACCATTCCAGACTTCCTTTCCCCGTGAATGGTCTGATAA